TGAAATGGAAACTGGGATTACATTGAGCAACTAGGCTTGGCCGACAGCGACGTCACCATGCCCCGCGCATGTAGCTCTAATATAGTAGGTTCCATTCTCTTTTCCATTACCCCTAATATAACCCCACTTTACTACCATAGTAGCTTCCATTTTCTTTTCCATTATCCCTTTATAACCCCGTAGTAGTTTCCAGTTTCTTTTCCATTATCCAAAGTCACATTGGGCTTAAAACGCCAAGCTTCAGACTAGAGGGATTGAAGGCTTTGAAGTCCAGACATGACGATCACATAAGCTTGAGGATAGCAGTGCTGATCCAGAACGACTGAAATAGCAGCCATCAAAGAGTAACAGCCAGAACCACAATTGTAGCCGTGGTCAAAAATCATGACCATTAAGCATCACTCGCGAGGAATTTGGGCATGTCCAACTGTCGGTGTCTGTCATAAATTTCCCAACATACTGGAATCCTTGTAGGGGGAAGCCCAGAACACCGACTCTTCAGCGTTGAAAACCCTAAGCCCGAGTCTCACCCATAGACACTTCCCACATGGGAAAAAATCAGCGGTGTGCCTCGTCCAGCTCGTCGAAATCGATCATGGCACGTACCAAGGGCGGTTGTTGAAATACAGCTCAGATTAGGGTCTGCGGTTTAGGGTCAAGGGGTCAGGGTGGGTAAGAGCTCAAGGCTTAGCCAGTTACTATCAATGCCATGCTTATGGCTGAACCTGCTATCTGCATTTGTAGCAGCGAAATCTCTTATTGTGTGCTGTAAATGAATGTACGGTCGTTCTTTGGTAAGCAGTCGAAAGAACTCCTACAAAGCCGTGCGGGGCTTTCTACCTTGCATGAACTGCGTTTCAAAATCATAGTCCCCTTGCAGACCTCAAAGTCACTGCGCTCTTGTTTGGGAGATCCCCAAGACACGATCCCCAGGCAAAGCTAATCAAAAAACTTTGCAAGCTTTCAAGTCCAGAATGGCAAAAGCTCAGCTTGAGGTTATGCGGCTGCGTTGTGGTATCTGCTGCCCAGATATGAGCCATAATCTAAACACCAAGTATCCGCCTTAATAACCCTTATAGTAGTCCCCCATATAGTCCAATACGTGTCCCTTTAAGGAATTTAGACTGTTATTCTCTGGACAGGGGGTACAGGACTATGGGGTTGAGAAACACTTCATTTCGACTGCATCAATTCCTTGGCACTGCTCCGTCATTGCGGAGACTGTGCCGCTGAGCCCCCTGCTCCTCGCACGACTGCGGATACGCAGCCCAGATGTCACTCCCCCGCACGTCACCCAAGGACTTCATCTTATAGCCAGAAGATTTATGACGTTCTGGCGACTGTGGCTACCGAAGTATAGTGTCGTAGACATGCCCCCAGCACGCTGGGAAAGCTTGACAAGTGGGACTGCATCTATGAACGAAAAGATGCATGTTGCGAAAGAGACTGCACAGCGTGTCTGTGAGTTCAAAGGGAAAAAGCCCTGAGGCCATGAATTTTCCATGCCCCCGGCTGAGAACTTTAGTAACTAAAGCACCAAGGAGGGAACGTAGCAAAGAGATTCACGGGATCGTCTCAGAGCTTTCGTCTAAGAGCGGTCCATCATTAGCTGGGCAAACAGCCTGAACATCAGCACATCGATTTGGAAGGAGCAAAACCACAATTTTCAGCTGAGGCACGCTGTTTGCCTCCAGCTTGTGCAGATTTTGGGCAGCCTGCAGGATGCAACAAGGGGCTGCCTGCCGTGCTGGCCTGGGGGGTTACCCTGTCAAAGTATGAACACAAGCTGCATGCGCCATTGTTTGCTGGTGTTACCCCTATGGCTGCTACTCCTGCCATCACTGCTGGTGCTGCTCTCACTGCGGTCAATGCTGCTGTCACCACTGCTCTTGTCACCAAAGCTGTTGCAGCTGCTGCTGCCGCCGCCACTGTTACTCGTCTTATTGACAGTGTTTCGATCACGACAGATTGCACCTCTAATAGCTGCTCGGCCCACAACATCTTCTGATGCACGTCTGGGCATGACTGCCCTTGTGCTGGCACTTGCGAACAGGCATTGCTACCTTCATGTTTAAGGATTGTGGACTAATGTGAATTCATTCAGGCCCCAAGCTTGTACGCAACTATGTCATGCAACTGTATCATTTTCTATGCGTGACCATCACCAACATGATAGTTACCAAGAATCGTAGCAACACTAACAGACGCAAACACGGTCGCGAGATCGTTGTACTACTACTGTTCTTTCTCGAAATCGAGGCTCCCGTTTTCATAAACCAAAACCTCAGGGAATAGTGGGAACAGCAGATCCACAAATCTGCACACAACGCGAATGTCAGTTTAGTATGCGTCAACGATCTTCCACACCGTTTTCACAGGGAGTTGTGAGAAGCGGTCACTGTGCGATGAATAAACTTCCGAGAACAGGGTTTTCTGCGGCTAACAAAGCAGCAAATCTCGGTTGGGTAGTGATCGGAGTTAAACTTCTGACAGAAACAGTGAAAAAGAGGCTGTTGGCTGCAAGGGGGCGAGAAGAGTCTTGCAAGACGATTTGAAGTTTTGTTTTGGATCAGGAAACAGACCTGTTTCATCCTGGAGAACAGCAGCCCACCCAATTCGAAAGTTTGTTCTCCCCCGGAAAGTGAGCTCGCAAAGTAATCGCTGAGGGTGGCTCCTACAACTCTGCGAACTGGGAAACAATGGTCAGCTGAATATGCTCCTGCACAGTTCGGCTGTCTTCGGAAATACCTTGAGTGGAGTGGGGGTGTTTGATGTCATGGGCAAGGAATTACACCCTTATTAGGATCCATATTATAATCCCTATTAAGGAGGGGTTCAATAATACGGGGTCTACCCTAAACCCTGAATCCCTAAAATCATTGATGATGCCACGCCTCCTCCAAAAACTCGCTGCCCCTGAGCGTAGTGTGAAGTATCGAATCACCTCGGGTTTGGGGCTTAGGGCTCCCAACATGCTTTCAATAAGGGCTTTAGGACGGCCTTTAAACGTGCGACAAAGCATAAACCAATGTATCATCCCAGTTTCCATGTCATGTTCCATGCTCTTCTCCGTTTGATTTCTCCATTATTAGGGGGGGAATATCCCTAAACCATTAACCCATGCAGAATCAGAATAGAGGTTTTGAGGCCAAGCCAAGGGCCATAGCCTTAAGGTACGCTTCTTGGGATGCTATAATACCCCTTAAGTAGATAGAATATGGGGTATATGGGGATCCTATTATAATATACCCAAAGCCATATTCTATCTACTTTAGGGGGACTGTAGCTTGGGGAAGGGTGGACAAGAGAACAAGGCCTCTAATGACTCGAGATGCTATTTCCGAAGCCAAACTTGATCTCCAACTTTTGGGCTTGCAGTGGAGCTTAGGGTTTAGGCTTTAGGGTTTGGGGTTTTATGGGGTTTACAAAACCGTGTAATTGCTCAGGTTTTGACATGGGGGTTGCTCAAACTCAAGCTCTAGAATTCTCTGTGGAGATCCCCAGGGTCACTTCATAATCCACTGAATGAACTACAGCCAGTATTTCTCATATAACTACACAATGGACATGGGTTCCTGGTATGGAATATATTGCGGACTCTACTAGACTACCGAAGAAACCCCTATGTCCACCCTTAATGGTCCCCTGCTAACCCTAACATTGACAGCAGCTCATACCTAATTTCTATAAGCCAATATGTATATATGTATATATATATACACCCCGTTTCCATTTCATTCTCCATGTTCTTGTCCATTTGATTTTCCATTATTGGGGGAACTACCCCTAAACCCTAAATATGGGTCCCATGGGAAGGCAGCGTATCCGGGTTCCCCGCAAGCCCCCCTGCTTTCAGAATGCAGATGGGTAGCTGCTGACGCTACTCTCTGCGGTATCAACAACCGTGGCATTCCACAGCCGCTCGCTCCACCTGGAAAGACGGGACCAAAATGGGGGTTCCCAAAATTAGGGGTACTATTCTGGGAGACCCAATAGTAAGGACTATAGTATTTGGGGGTCTATATTGGGGTCTCTTATTCAGGGGACGTACCAAATGGTGTAAAGTCTCGGGTTTAAGGTTGGATTCAGGTTGAGTGTTCAGGGCTTGGGGGCTGAGGGCTCTTTCAAGCTTTACCCTCAGTTGTTTCCGCAAGCCACCGCAGGCCCTGAAAAAGGATCCTTTTTAGAGTCGGACCGCTGAGCCTGTGATGTGGGTAGTTCCCAAAATTAGGTTTTCCATCTTGGTGCCCCTAAATATCAGGTGCTGCAATATAATCTATAACCCGAATGGCTCATAATTCTGAGAACAACCCATGTTCCGATTGCAATGCAGATTCAGGAGTGGGCGAACTCGAACCCGCGCATCCCCAGCTCTGAACTTGAACAGCCTGCAGACCCTACAAAAGATGATTAGTGAAAGAACAACCAGTGGAGCTTTACGAAGACACAAGCCCCACCTTTCAGACAATCACCAAGCCTCCACATCTGCACACAAACTCTAGACCCTAGCTACAATTACACGATCACGATATGAAAGCGTTAGGAATCATTAGGAACATGACTTATGACAACAAAGAGCTTTGCTATCCATAGCATACGCTTACAACTTAGTACTCTCAATTTCTCAAAAAATCTGGTGCCCATATTCATGATTCCACCCCCAAACTTCTAAATCTCTAAACCCTAAACCCTTTCCAAAACACCCGCATGGCTAAAGAAACCTCGCTTCGATCAAAATCGACTTTTTAAGAGGCTGGGTTGGCTTTAAAGGGATATGTTAGGAGGACCCCCACAACCCTGTAATAGTGGGAAAATGGAAAAGAAAAATGGAAACTACTACATGGGGTTATATAGGGTTTAGGGTTTAGGAATTGGGGTTATACAGGGGATAATGGAAAAGAAAATGGACGCTACTATAATAGATTGGGGTTATATTGGGATAATGGAAAATAAAATGGCAACCACTACATTATAAATAGGAATTATAAGAGGACCCTACTATAATCCTTACTATCCCTTATGGTCACTATTCCCGGGTGGGAATCCACCTGAAGGATATGGGAGAGTTCTGCGCTCTTTCGGTCCCTTTCGGGGGATGTGGAGACGTGTCGGGTTCTTCGGCTTCGGGCTCAGGACTTCAGCTTTCCCAAAATCATTGCTAGAAAATTCTTATTGGCTATTATTGCAAATATTTCGCAGTTACCATGATTAGCACTAGTGTTACTGTTATTAGTTTTGTTATGATTATTATCGTTATTCATATTAGTATTAATTAAACTGCATGAACCCCAGGTATATGCCGAGCTTCTCGAGCCCTTCAGCGGGAAGCCTGCCCCTGTGAACACCTCGCACCAGCAGACGATTAGGATTCCATAGCTACACTGATTGCGGGGGCAGGGCGTTTCGCACGAGATTTCCTCCAGCCTCAAAAAACTGATGACTGGAAAAAAGACAGCAAGAATGCCTACGCCGCAATGGAAAAAACAGCCGGCATTGCAGTAATGATGATTGTATGCAACATAACTTGCAGGCGTGACAAAAAAAAATGACCGTTTGACCAGCAAAAGGAGATTGCTTGGGTCTGAATCCGGTGTGAACTGGGGTTCAGTTCAGCGCGTAGACTTTAAAATCTACGCTGTATTTCGGGTCGGGGGCTCAGCAACTTTATGCTTCTAGATGTAGAGGTTGAGCAGTTAACAGGTTACGTCCCAAAATTGTGTTTTGCACTGAGCTGATCTTCCGCGACAACGAGCTGAAGTCCTGATAAATAAAAAAAGCACACCATTGGCAGCAATAACGCGGCAGTGGCTACAACAGGAAGGGTGATGACAACAGTCATAGCTAGCGTGTCGAAGCAATGTGAAGGGTAGGAGTGCTAGAGCTGGTTGCAAAGCAAACAAAAACACTAATCATAGGAACATTCAGAGCGCTATCATTGAGCACACCAACCATCATCCTCACCGTTGATCGTAAACTGCGGGTGAGTATAGGAATACTGAGGTGGCCCTGTGCAGCCTGCCTGGCCCGCCATGTATCAGCAAGCCTCAAAAGCAGTCACGGTTTAGGGTGTCGGGTTTTTGTTGCGCAGGGCTTTTATCAGTCGTGAGACTTTGGTCCTGCCTTCTTCAACTACGTACAGGAAACAAACGAACTGGGGGTTATATTGGAATAATGGAAAAAAATGGAAACTACTATTTAGGGTTTAGGGTTTAGGGCTTGGGATAATGGAACAGAAAATGGAAACTGCTATTTAGGGTTCAGGGTTTAGGGTATAGTCCCCCTTAAGTCTCACTTCCTGGTGTAGATGGCGGGTTTTCACGACCTGTAGACTGGGGTCTTCGAAGCTGACTTTCATTTGGGGGTTTCCCAAAATTAGGGGTACCCTTTAAAGGGGTTATAGGGGTTGTATAGGGATAGATGGGGGTATATAGGGTTTAGGGTTTCCCAAAACTAGGGGTACCTAGTATAATGGAGAATCAAATGGAAAAGAAAATGGAAAATGAAATGGAAACTGGGTTTATATAGGGGATTATTGGGATTAGGGGTTCCCAAAATTAGGGGTACCATTTTGGGGGTCCCAATAATAAGGAATGTAGTGCATTGGGGTCTATATTGGGTTCCCCTTATTTTGGGAAACTACCATTTCTGGCGGTTTGTTCATGAGGGATGCAAATACCTGGAGATTCAAGGAAGGGGATGCAGCGTTGACAAGTTGTCAGGTGGCTGCGCAGACACAACCTGGCAGCATCTATGGCGAAACCAGGCAAGCTCTAGCCCTTCATATGGGGGTTTCCAAAAATCAGGGGTACCTTTTTGGGGTCCCTATAATCAGAACTATAGTATCTTGGGGTCTATAATGGGGTCCCCTCATGTATGGAAACGGAAATATGCGCAAGGAGTTTTTCAGAAAAAAAATCTTACGCGTGCTTACAACCATGACAATAGATGGCAAAGGGGAAGGGGTCCTGGGCAAGTCTTTACAAAGCATACAAAGCAACATCTGAGTCAGCCAGGTCACGCCATTGCTCAGGATGAGGGCCCAAGATTTTCTGCAAGAGCAGGGATCGCCGCGCCTGAGGCTGCGGGGATACTTTGAGGACGCTGATGATTCCTCAAGAACGGGGCAAGCTCCTTCTCAGACATAGGATCACTTGTCCAAAAATCCTTTCTTGCTTCTGGGTTAGGGACCCGGGACCGATGACACTGGTCTCATTTCATAGAAACTACACAGCATTTCGTCGCAATTTTTCTCATACGGACCCTCCCCCAAAATGTGAGTACAGGCAGGGGTCTAAAGGAAATGTGGAGTTTAGAGGGAGATCCTAAAGGTGACAACGTCATGGAGCACGCGGTACAGGACTGCAGTACTGTACCAAATTACATACTACGTGACCATGGATTCGGCTTGGCTAGGCTACGGCTTGCTATCCCGAGAGCCGTGCATAGCTCGCTCAAACATCTAAATCCCCAGATACCTCTCTATGTCCCTATAAACCCTACACGCCCCAAGACATGCCCTAAACCCTAAACCCTAAACCCTAAAACACTAAACCCTAAAACCCTAAACCCTAAAGCCCTACACCCTACCCCTGTAACCCCCATTAGTTGTAGCCAGATCCCTGCCAGCTCTGCCCCTCTGCCTACCGCTGCGTAAGGGAGAGTGGGGGAGTGAATATGGGGGTTTCTCAAAATTAGGGGTACCCTTTAAAGGGGTTATAGGGGTTGTATAGGGATAGATGGGGGTATATAGGGTTTAGGGTTTCCCAAAATTAGGGGTACCTAATACAATGGAGAATCAAATGGAAAAGAAAATGGAAAATGAAATGGAAACTGGGTTTATATAGGGGATTATAGGGATTAGGGTTTCCCAAAATTAGGGGTACCATTTTCTGGGGTCCCAATAAGAAGGATCATAGCATATTGAGGTCTATATTGGGGTCCCCTTATTTAGGTGAAACTACCATATAACTATCTTTAAATTTTATTGTATGGGAATTATATGGGGATTATTCTCGTGATTATTGTAAGGGGATTATATAAGGATTACTATATGGGGAGTATTATAGGGATGATTGGATTATATAGTGGTTATGATGTTTGGATTACAGAGGAATTATTGCAGGGATCCACTCCCCCACTCTCCCTTAAGCACGAGTAAGTCTGAGGCATGCACGTCACTTTCGATGCGTCTTGTGTCACTTTCGAGGCGTCTCCCAGGCGGTGGTGAGCTTTTCAGGAAACATGTCCTGGGTACTTGGAGGGTCAGGAAGGTTTAGTGATAGTGGGAAAGAGAATGGAAACTACTATATATTCTTTAGGGTTTAGGGTTCAGGGTTCAGTTTAGGGGCAGACTTAGTAAGTAGGCTAGTAATGGGACGGGTTACAGGGGATGTTACCTACTTACCAAGTCCTGACCCTCCAAGTAGGATTGCACATCGCGGCACAGCAATCTTATCAGTGCTGGGAATACTCAATATACCCTCTGTACTGAGACAGCAACACTGGAGATTCCAAAGACTCCTTGCCGCCGCGCCAACAAAGAGCATATAACATAATACCCCTTTATAATCCCTATAATAGTATAGTAGTTTCCATTTCATTTTCCATTCTGTCTATATATACCCCTATATAATCCCTATAATAATAGAGTAGTTTCCAGCTTCTTTTCCATTATCCCAATATAACTATATGATATATTCCCCTATTCCCCATTATAACCCTAATATGTACCCCATTATACTGTAGTAGTTTCCATGGAATACTGATCATCCTGCTTTTCATGGGAGGACGACTTCGGGTTGCCATCTTGCGGTGTGGTGTGTGTGCGTGTCAGCCGGGGAGGTTTGAGGCGTGGGTCCAGGTTCAGGTTGTAACAGATTCAAGGAAGGGATACCAACACGGTTTAGGGTTTAGGGTTTTTAATAATCTTCAGATTCAAGGAAGGCACAAGGCCTGCCTAGGCGGAAATGGCAAGGGTTGGAGCGTCTCACTTGCACAAAGGGATGATATTGCATTTACAGGGGGAGCAGGTATGTCAGGCAACACCTTCTGTACTTAGACTGCAACAAATACCACACCCCTGTATAGTCCTCCTCAAGTAGATAGAATATGGGGTATATGGGGATGTTATTATAATATACCCAAAGCCATATTCTATCTACTTAAGGGGGGCTATAGTTATAACCTTTAGCGGCTTGCAAGGACTTCCACCTCCCAGGCTACTCTGCAGCAAGGCACAAGTATGCGAAGCAGGAGTTGGCGTTTTCTACCTCAGTTGTGGCTCTGCCCTACTGGTTTTCCACATTGTCCTCACAAGAACGCTCCATGCGACGCTGCCCAGCGGCAACTTCGTTGAACTCCACCGGGTCGCTCGGAAACGGAAACCATGTTGTCCTCAGCGTTCACAAAACAACAGCAGCGCTTCTCTTTGGATGTCTTACACCAGATGCGAATGATGCGATGCTCCCTGGGAGCCAAACAAGAGAGAAGCCAGCATTACTAGGAAAAGTTCACAGTAAGCTATGAGGGGATCCGTTCCCTTGTTTTGCTCCGGAGAAGCACGCAGGATGTATGTTTGGCCAGGAGGCAAGTTCGGCCGAAGCTCCTCAAACTCTTTCGCACAACGCTGGATGCCTTCATGGATGCTCCAGCTGCCCTTTTTGGGATGTTACAAAGGATCCTCATCTTTATTTCTGGGGGTACAGAGACGGACCCCCACCTAACAGAGGGCAGCTCAACGAATTCGACTCAAAGACGGTTCCAAGCTAGGCTGCATATGACGAAAGCCATTGCTTTCCTCTCCATCTAAGGCTACTGACCCTCTCCCCCGTCGTTCTTCCCACAACCCTACTCTAGGCACACATGGAAATCTGGGCATCGGAGGATCCCAATATAACCCCAATATACTATAGAGTAGTTTCCATTTTCTTTTCCATTATCCCATTATAACCCTAAACCCT